AGGTCTTGCGACCAAGTTGCGGGTGGGAGGGTGAGATGTTTGCACGAGCAGCGGAGAGGACATCTTCAAGTTGAGCAAGTGATTGATTGCGAAAGTGCGCCAGTGGATCTCCCTGAATACACTAAGGGGGGGGGTCGGAACCCCCATCCCCCCTTCAACAGAGGGGGGGTCCGAACCCCCCCCCCCCTCCCCTTAAAGGGGGGGGGGGTCCCGAACACCCCACCCCCCTCCCTTGAAGGAGGGGGGGGGGGCCGGACTCCCCCCCCCTCCCCCCCTTGGCGCTGGAAAGGAGGAGGGGTTCGGACCCGCCCCCCTCTCCCCCCCTTTGCGCCGGAAAGGGAGCCGGGGAGGGGGGGCCTCTCTCGCTTCTCCTTTCTGCGCCGGAGAAGGTGTGTAGGGAGTACGGAGTAGGGAGTGGTGAGTAGTGAGTAGTGTGTTAGTGCGTAGTGAGTAGTGAGTATTGGGTAGTGAGTACTGGGTAGTGAGTGGCGAGTAGGGAGTAGGGAGTGGGGAGTAGTGAGTAGTGGATAGTGAGTAGTGTGTACTGATTAGTGAGCAGTGAGTGGCGACTAGTGAGTAGTGAGTAGCGAGTAGCGAGTAGTGAGTACTGAGTAGGGAGTAGGGAGTAATGAGTAGTGGGTAGTGAGTAGAGGGTGGTTAGTAGTGGGTGGCGAGTAGTGATGAGTGCGTAGTGAGTAGTGGGCAGTGCGTAGTGCGTAGTGGGTAGTGAGTAGTGTGTAGTGAGTTGTGAGTAGTGAGCAGTGAGTAGTGAGTAGTGAGTAGTGAGTAGCGAGTAGTGCGTAGTGAGTAGTGAGTATTGAGTAGGGAGTACTGAGTAGTACGTAGTGCGTAGTGAGCAGTGAGTAGTGAGTAGTGATGAGTAGAGAGTTGTGGGTAGTGGCAGTTGGTAGTGAGTAGTGAGTAGCGAGTAGGGAGTAGCGAGTAGTGAGTAGTGAGGAGCGAGAAGGGCGTAGAGAGTAGTGAGTAGTGAATAGAGAGTAGTTGGTAGTGAGTAGTGGGTAGTGATTAGTGAGTAACGAGTAGGGAGTAGCGAGTAGTGAGTAGTGAGTAGCGAGTAGGTAGTAGGAAGTAGGGAGTAGTGAGCAGTGAGTAGTAAGAAGTGGGTAGCGAATTGTGGGTAGTGAGTAGCGATTAGTGAGGAGTGAGTAGTGGGTAGTGAGTTGTGACTAGTGACTAGTGACTAGGGAGTTGTGACTAGTGATTAGAGACTATGTAGTGACTAGTGAGTAGGGAGTAGTGAGTAGTGAGTAGTGAGTAGTGCGTAGCGGGGAGTGAGTAGTGAGTACTGAGGAGCGAGTATGGGAGTAGCGAGTAGTGAGTACTGAGTACTGTGTAGTCAGTCTTGTGCAGGGAGTAGCGAGTAGTGGGTAGTGAGTAGTGATTCGTGGGCAATGAGTAGTGAGTAGTGAGTAGGGAGTAGTGGGTTGTGGGTAGTGTGTCATGGATAGTGATTAGTGAGTAGTGAGTATGGAGTAGTGGGTAGTGCTTAGTGAGTAGTGAGTCTGGAGTAGTGGGTAGTGAGGAGTGAATAGTGAGTAGTGAGTCGGGAGGAGGGAGTAGTGAGTAGGGAGTAGTGCGTAGCGAGTAGTGGGTGGTGGGTTGTGAGTAGTGGATAGTGAGTAGTGAGTCGCGAGTAGTGATTAGCGGGTAGTGAGAAGTGAGTAGCGAGTAGCGAGTAGTCAGTAGTGGGTAGTGAGTAATGAGTAGTGAGTACTCTTTGGGTGGTTTTCCGGTTTTGGGTTAGGGTGAGGACTAGGGGTAGGGGTGGCGGGGATCGGGTTCCGGAGTCAGGGGGCGGCGTGGCGAAACGGGGGGAGGGGGAGGGGGGGTGCGGCCAAAGGAGGGGAGGGGGGGGGGTCGGAACTCCCCCCCCTTTTGAAAAGGGGGGGAGGGGGGGGGTTCCCGACGACGGACCAGGAGAGGGGGAAAGGGGGGGGGGTCCCCGACGACTGGAGCCTGGATGGTGGGGGGGGGGGGGGGGCAACCCCCCCCCCTTGGGAGATCCAGGCGGCCAACCCTCATGATTTTCCTCTCTCAAAAAAAAAAAAAAGAAATCGACCCCCCCCCCCGGGCCTTTATCGCTTCCCCTCTGGATAGTATGATTTCATATATTTTCTGCACACTCGTCCATCCTAAATGTGAAATCAGACCATCCCAGGCAGGCAAGGTTCCCCCCCTGAGGTTCCCTTTTGTGCAAAACACTATGCGGTGACTTGTTTTGCTCTAACATAACACTTGTTTCACAAATCCCTTGCAAAAATGGGACGAAGTGCGCACGCGCGCGTCGTCGCGCGCGCATGCCGAAATCCTTCAAAAACCTTCGGCGCCGGAAGGATTTCGCAATCGAGTTTCCAAAACACATACAAAAGCACACGGTTTCGCAATACCGGTTTGCTAAAAAAGCTTCCGCGCGAGTTCTTGCGAAATCTTAAGAAAACCAATGGTTTGTTTTCAAGATTTTCACAAAATTCTACCAAACGGGCTTCGCGCGCGCGCATGTCGAAATCTGTCGAACGCCCTTGCGCGTGTGCCGTCGCGAGAATCCTTTGCACAAAAATAAGACGAAGTGCAGACGCGCGCGTCGTTGCGGGCGTATGCCGACATCCTTCAAAACCCATCGGTTTCGGAAGGATTTCAAAATCGTGCGTCCAAAAAACCTACAAAAACCCAAGGTTTCGCAACACTGATTTTCAACAAAAGCGTGCGCGCGCGCTCTTGCGTCGTCGTGGTCGTCGTCGTCTTCTGTCTTTCCTCGTCGTCGTCGTCGTCTTGGCGTCGTCGTCGCTTCCGTCGTCGTTGTCGCCGTGGTCGTCCTTCCTCCCTCGTCGTCTTCGTCGGCGTCTCGTCGTTGTCCCTCCTATTTCGTCGCCGTCGTCGTCGTCGTCGTGGTCTTCACTCCTCCCTCGTCGTTATCCTCCTCCCTCGTCGTCGTCGTCGTCCGTCGTCGGCGTCTCGTCGTCGTCCCTCCTATTTCGTCGCCGTCGTCGTCGTCTTCGTCGTCGTTGTCGTCGTCGTCGTCTTCCCTCCTCCCTCGTCGCTGTCGTCGGCGTTGCCGTCCTTCCTCCTTCTTCGTCGTTCGCGTCGTCGCCGTCTTCCCTCCTCCATCGTCGTTGTCGTCGTTGTCGCCGTCGTTGTTTTTTCTGATCCCTCGTCGTCGTCTCCGTTGGCGACGTCGTCGTCGTCTTCGTCGTCGGCGTCGGCGTCGTCGTCGTCTTCGTCGACGTCGACGTCGGCGGTGTCGTCGTAGTCGGTGTCTGCAGCGCCGTCGTCGTCGTTGTCGCTGTCGTCGTCGGCGTCGGTGTCGTGGCCAAGTGCCATGTGGTACCTACCGTCACGGTCTTGTCTTAAGAATTCTTGCGACCAAGTTGCGGGTGGGAGGGTGGGATGTTTGCACGAGCAGTAGAAAGGACAGCTTTAAGACGGTCAAAGTGAATTGCACCACATATATTGCACCACGCTGATCACTTCACGTAGTCTGCACGACAAATATTCATATTTAACACATTATATGTGTGTGTGGGTGTATTCGCCTATATGTATGTATTTGTATGTATACATGTACATATATATGTGTATGTATATGTATGTATGTGCGTACTTTTGTAAGTATTGCACAACACATGTTGCACAACCGATGTTGCACCACATAGATTTTCCACATAATGTGTGTGTGTGTGTGTGTTCCTCTTCCTATATTTTTACAAGCCCGGGCGGGGGGAAAATCCATCCCCCCCCCAAAAAAAAACCGGACTCCCGGGATCTGGGGCTTTGGGACCGTCCGTACGGGCCTCGAAGCGGCCCCCCAGGCCTCGCAGGGCGTTTTGCCAGGCCTTCCCAGCACACCTAGGGCGATCATGGGGGTCATCGGAGACGTCCCAGAGACCCCCAAGACAGCACAAGAGCGCTCCAAGAGTGGCCGACGTGACCTCAAGATGGCCCAAAAGGCCTCCAGGACGGCCCCAAAGAGGCCTCCAAGAGCACTCCCAAGAAGGCCCCAAGAGGCACGAATATTTGATTTTCTGTTGTTTTTTGCTGAATTTTGGGGTTCTCCTCTTTTCGGCTTCCCGACGCTCCAAGATGGCGATCTTCTGGGCGTCCGAAGCCGCCTGGGAGGCTCCAACATCGCCCCACAACCATCCGAAAGGGCTTCCAGGCAATCCAAGAGAGCCCCAAAACGGCACAACACGGGTCCAAGATGGCCCTCAGAGAGCCCCATGACGGCCCAAGATGGCCCCAAGACACCCTCCGAAGCATTCCAAGTCGTGACCCGGTCGTTCAGGGAGACCGCGGTTGGAGGCAGGGTGGCCCCAGGAAGCCCCCAGAGGCCCCCAGAATACGCCCAGGAGGCCTCCAGAAGGCCTTAAGAAAACCTGAAACAACTTTTGTGAGGCCCCCCGAGGCTCTCCAAGGAGGAGCCTCCGCAAAAAAGAGCTGAGGAGGATGGGGAGAATGCGCAGGGTATGGCGAAAATAAGGAAAAAGAAGCATGGAGGAAGGATAACGAATAACATAATTATAGCGGCGATGCCGGAAAAGGCAACAAGGAGTTATCTCTAAATTGTCGGCCTGACCTTCCTGCTATTCCGCATGCATACCAAACTTCAAGGACCAAGGTGCATGGCGCGAAGCGCCACTGCAGTCTTGTATATATATATATATATATATATATATATATGTGTATATATATATATATATATAGATATAGATATCCATGGGCACGAGGCGGGGGGGGGGCCGGGACCCGGCCCCCAACAGCGTATGGGGGGATTGGGCCGCGATGGACGCCCCCAGACGGCCCAAAACAGCCCCGAAACAAATGAAACAGGACCCAAAAGGCCTCCAAGACGACGTTTAAGAGGGCCCAGAGTCGCCAATCAATTCGCTCTAGCACGTCCCAGATGGCCTCCAGACGGCCTGAAACGCTTCCAACACCGCCCAAGGGGTGTCCAAGAGCACTCCAAAAAGGGCCCCAAGAGGCACACTTTTTTTTTTTGTCCTTGGCCACTTTGGCTCAAGGCTACTCTAGGCCAGGTGTTCCCATAAACGGGCCATCCGTTGTTGCATTGCGGGGCAGTTCTTCCAATTAGAAGATGAGCAGCAGGTTCCTTTCCGCAGCTCTGAACCATTTGGGATACTTCGGGTTTGCCCGCCTGGTTGCTACGGCAACCTGCAAAGTGCCCTCTGCCCCCGAGCCACCCAGCAGGTTTGCCGATGATGTCTGGGCAAGTGAGTTACCATCAGACCTCGCGGGCAAAGTGTACGCCATTACCGGGGCGTCTAATGGGATGGGCAAGTACTTGGCAGAGATGCTGGCGAGTCGCGGAGCTACCGTCATAATGCTCAACCGTAAGTCAGCGCATTCTGTAAAGGCGTTTGAGGAGGTGAAGGTGGCCGCCAAGAAGGCAGAGTGTGTGCACCTTGTCGAATGTGACCTGTGCGATTTCGCCTCAGTTCGCAGTGCAGCCGCAGCCGTCAGATCGATCTCGTCGGAGCTGGACGGCCTCGTCTGCAACGCAGGCTTGATGGCGCAGGCCGACAAGCGAACCGTCGATGGCTACGATGTGCAGATTCAGGCCAATCACCTCTCCCACTTCCTCCTCACCTCTCTGCTCCTGAAGGACCTTGCCGCTACGGGGAAGAAGAGGGGCGAGGCCGCACGCGTCGTGCAGCACAGCTCCGGTGCCCGGAGCTCACCGGACGTGCCGATCTCGCCCGATTGCTTCGAGAAAGAGTGGGAGTCCATCACCGACGACAAGGGACAGCAAGGCAACCCTCGCAAAGGCGACGTCAGCTTCATGGCCAAGTGGCGCCGCTATCAGCAGAGCAAGAGCCTCAACCTCGGTTTCACCTACGCGCTGGCAGACTATATCGTAAAGCAGGGTTTGCAGGGGGACGTCATCGCAACGTGTGCACATCCCGGCGCGACGAACTCGGGCCTGCAGTCCCGCACAGAGGGCGGATGTTTCATGGACAACCTTATCAACGGTATCGCAGCATGCGTTGGACATTCCACAGCCGATGGCTGCCTGGGGCTAGCGTTAGCCACTTTGAAGCCGGGCGCACAGAATGGTGCATTCTATGGACCAGCAGGAATGATTGGCAACGCGGTCTTGATGCAATGTGAGCGTGACAGGTACAGCGAGCAGCTCGACCTCATTTGGAGTGGAAGCGTCCGTGCAACTGGTGCTGTCTTCGACTGAGGACCATTGCAATCTCATAACTTTTTGCCCGAGAGGCTTTCTCTCGCTCTCAGAGATTCATGATTAGGTCGTGATTGCACATGGCGTTGCTGCCCATTTTCCCGAACCATGGTTCCGAGCGTGGGCTCACCGGCAACAGGTTAGCCTTCGCGCGCTGTTCCAGGTTTGCTTGGCGTCTCGCCCTTGTGCATTCATGTTGGCACCCCCATCGGCACCCTATGAGACAACACCCTCCATCCCTGATCGTGCCCCACATCGTGACTGGATTGTTGTTTAGGGTCTTCTGCCACAAGGACGTCGCAATTGCTTGTCATCCTGTGCCTGCCTGCTGGCTCTTGTGGGTTGGACTCCCCTGAGCGCTGAGCTCTGCACGGCAATTTTGCTTGGAGCTTTAGAGTATAGTTACTTCTATGGCATGCTGCACTACGATGTTGTCTGCATGTATCGTCCGACGCAGTGTGTCCTCTGGCCGCTTCACATGCAGAAAAACAAAAAAGCATTGATTGTCCTTGAGCATTTGATTGATTTTCGCGTTTCTGCGTTTGCGGCTTCCCGACGCTCCAAGACGGTCCTGGAGGCCCCGAATATCGCCCCAGCACGGCATCAGAGGCCCCAAGAAGGCGCCGAGACGGCCCAAGAGGCCCCGCAGATTGCCTAAGAGGCCTCCGAGGCAGCCCAAGAAAGCCCAGGCCGATGAGAAAGAGGAGGAGGAGGAGGCAGGAGGAGGAGGAGGAGGAGGAGGGCGAAAAGAAAGGCCAGAGGCCTCTTGGATGCCTCTCCGAGTTTCTTTGGATTTCTTTCGAGAGCTTCTTGGGGTCCTCTTGGGAAGTCTTGGGGGTCCCTTGGCAGTCCTGGCGGCCTCTTGAGGCATTTTGGGTGCTTCCGGGGGCCTCTCGGAGCCTCTTGGGGAACTATTGGGAGCTTGTTTGGGGCATCTTGGGGGCATCGTGGTGGTGTCGTGGTGCCTCCTGGGCACCTCTTGGGGCCGTCTTGGGGCACCCTTGGGAGCCTCGGGGCCATCTTGGGGCCATTTTTTGAGGAGATCGATCAAGGAGGGGGGCTCTTTACTCAGGGCCCCCCCAGGAGGCCCAAATGTAGCCAAGGTAGAGTGCCGCGCTGGCGGCCCATGTAAGCCGTGGCGTGGGGTTGCAATGTCTTCTCGTGTACGATCCTTTGGTTTTTGTCGCTCATTTGTGTTTTAACCAGGGCCGCCTTGCTCTAATTTGCTCACAATCCTCGATGGGAGCATCTCGACTAGGCCCCCACGGGATCTCCGCGATGCCGCAGCCCTGATCCAGGACGCCACGCTGGCAATCGTGGTTTGCATGGTCTGTCCTTCGGACGCACAGTTCGTAAGCGGGCACGCCTGGCATGCAGCATGGACTGTCTCTTGGCATCGCTCGGACGTGTGCATTTTTCCTTCGGCGAGGACCATCGAGGAGCATCCTGGATCATTTGGCGAAAAAAACACGCACGAAACCGGAAAAAAACACAGGAAATGGACGTCCGAGCGATAGCCAGGTCTTGGGCACACCGTCGCCTGGACCTGGGACGCATCACCTTCGAGCGGGCACGCTCCGGAGCCGGCCTCCGTGGATCGGGCCGGGTCGGGGCCAGATCCCACGACGGGAGCTGGGGACACCCCTGTTTGAAACGCAACATCCTTTGGACTGGGATCCGGGGATCGAGATCACCCTTTTTCCCAACCATCCTGTGGTGTTGGGTCCTCGTTTTGAAGAGACGGTGCCCCGCGTCTCCTTCTCCTCCCGCTGCCCCCTCCCTCCTCCCCCTCCCCCTCCTTGCCTCTGCTCTCGGCACGCCCCTCACACGTTTCGTGGCCCCATAGGGAGCTCCACCGAAGGTCCCAGTGGCACAGCCCGCATACGGTTCCCCTTCTTGAAACGCACCATCCTTTGGGCTGGGATCCGGGGATCGAGATCCCCTCAACATTCAGGAGGGGGAAAAGCACACAGGCACAAAGATTCGTCGATCCCCAGGAGAACTATGGAAACATATATGCAAAAATATGGAGAATGGAGGGGGAGACGAGAATCCAGAACATATGGGAAATTTGAGGAAACGTAGAATTCGTGTCAATTTTTTTTGCCTCTGAGCCCCTTCTCCTTCAACATGGCCTCGAGGGCACCCCTAACGAGGCCCACGGGCCCCTGAGCGGCACGAAAAAAGCTGGGCACCTTCGCCCAGGGAGACGTTTGTCAAGCAGTGGCGAAGCGTCCTGGCTCGTCTTTCGGCCCACCAAATAATGTTCCAAGAACCCCGCGTGGTTCTGCGCGACGCGTGCGTAGAACATGTCTGGCTGAGATTGTCTTGCTTTGACACGTCGGGTTGATGCTGTGTGAGCATTACTGTGGCATCCGAATATTCTGTTGTTTTAAAAGTAGGAGAACAGTTCGTGGTGGGCCTATAAGGATGCCGGGGCTGTCGGTCCTTGTCCAATTCTGGCCCCCCCCCAGCCATCCTGACCAAGTCTCCGTGGGCATTTGTCGGGATCGGCGTTCGATGCTTCACCCACGCGTTTCCTTATCTCTGGGTGGACGATAGTAGGAAATCGGGGAAGGGGGGAGTTGCGAAAGTTGCGTGCAGCTGATTCCGCCTCCGCACCACGCATGTTCCTCGATATTTGGCCAGCTCTCGCGCCTGGAGGCGCCAGAGTTACAATAGCACAGAGAGCCTAAACACCAACGTTGCATGATATGACACATGGTAGGCACGGCACGGCACAGCAACTGCTTCGCAGTCTTTACACCAGGCACAGCACGGCACTTGTTTCGCACCCTGAAAACCTGGCCTTGCACAGCACTGCAACGTTGTCCCAATCTGAAATCAGGGGGGATGTAAGGGGGGGATCTGCTCGGAGGGGGACGCATCGACCCCCGATCGCTCCTTGATCGCCCACGGGGGGCGTGACATCCCGCCCCCCCCCAGAGTGAGCGTGTGGCTTCGCCATCGAGGTCCTGTCGCCGATCTATCGGCGATGTATCGCCGATCCCGCGTGGATGTGTTCCCCCTGCACGGATTCCTGCGGATGCAACTCCTGGGAGGTCAAAGTCTGTTTTTGCCCTGGTCCGAAATCCGGCTTAATCTGGCTCAATCCGGCTTAATCCCGCTCAATCTGCTTTAATCCCGCGTAATCCGGCTTAATCCGAGGCCCACTCCGGCATAACCAGCCCCCCAATGGGGCTTATAATCTTCTGTAAGCTTTCCGACGAAAACCTCCCAGCAGGTGCCTCCTGAGGGCCCCTCCCTGCCGCCGCCCCATCCACGAGGGCCAGGGCACGGCACTCTCCCGCGGCACGCGGGCCCTCCTAAGGTCCCTCCCTGCCGCCGCCCCTCCTAAGGTCCCTCCCTGCCGCTGCCCCCATCCACGAAGGCCGGGCACGGCACACTCCCGCGGCAGGCACCGCTCGCGGGCACGGCCATGGCACGGCGACGGGCCTCCCCCCCCCCCCTGCGGCCCCCGCTCCGACGCCCAGGGGCGGCCCCGCCGGGCACCCTCCTGGTTGGGAGCCCAGACAATCAATCAGCGGCAACGATTGATTGACGTGTCCTCCTCCTCCTCCTCCTCCTCCTCCTCCTCCTCCTCCTCCTCCTCCCCTTCCTCCTCCTCCTCCTCCTCCTCCTCCTCCTCCTCCTCCTCCTCCTCCTCCTCCTCCTCCTCCTCCGCCTCCTCCTCCTCCTCTCCTCCTCCTCCTCCTCCTCCTCCTCCTCCTCCTCCTCCTCCTCCTCCTCCTCCTCCTTCCTCCTCCTCCTCCTCCTCCTCTCCTCCATTCCCTCCCTCTCCTCCTCCTCCTCCTCCCTCCTCCTCCTCCTCCTCCTCCTCCTCCTCTCCTCCTCCTCCCTCCTCCTCCTCCTCCTCCTCCTCCTCCTCCTCCTCATCCTCCAGGGGGAAACCGTACAGGGGATACGCAAAGGGGGGATGCATCGACCCCCAATCGCCCATGGATCGCTGACAGGGGCCCGATAGCCCCAGCCTGCCCAGGAAGGTGCGGATTCACGCTCGCAGGCCTATTGCCGATCCATCGGCGATGTGTCGCCGATTCCAGGTCGATGCATCCCCCCTGTGCCATTCCCCCCCCTTTCGTTGCCCCTCAAGCAGCGTAAGGTCTCGGCCAGCGCAGCTCACCAGGTCGGGTTCGATGCGCCGGGCGGGGCCCGCTGCATCGCTTCGCGGGAAGCTCAGCTCGGAGGCGACGGCAGGAGGAGGAGGAGGAGGAGGAGGAGGAGGAGGAGAAGGAAGAGGAGGAGGAGGAGGAGGAGGAGGGGCGATGGGCCCAGGGGGGGGCCCTTTCAAGCACGCATCCCTCCGGGGGCCTCGCCGAATACACGGACCACCCGCCGCGCGGTGCGCCCGCCCGCGCCGTCTGCACGCCCCCGCTCGCCCCATGCGCGCCCGCCCCCTGCGCGCGCCCGCCCGCGCGCCCCTCCGCGCGCGCCTCGCGCCCACTCCCTTCCACACCGCGCCCTTCCATTCCATCCACGCCACCGTCGTCGTCGTCGCCGTCGTCGTCGTAGTCGTCGTCGTCGTCGTCGTCGTCGTCGTCGTCGTCGCCGTCGTCGCCGCCGTCGTCGTCGTCTTCGCACCCTCCTCGCCACTGCAGGACGAGGCGCCGGGCCGGGGCAGAGCCGGAAGCGCGCGCGCGCGCCTCCCCCGAGGAGCCGAAGCCCGAGGCGGTGGACATGAGCGCCTACACCAAGAAGAAGACCGTGATGGTCGAGGCGCGCTCCTCGGCAGCCGCACGTGAGCCCTGCCCCCCCTGCCCACCGGATCTGGCCAGCGGGGGCCCGCCCGGGGGGGCTCAGACACTGCGAGCGGGCGCGGACGAGGTGAGCGCCCACCAGCCCAGCTCAACGAGCAGCCGCGGTAGGGTTCACAAGCTGCTGCCCGGGGGGAGGAGCGGAGCCGTGGGCAGCACGCCCTGCCTGTTGTCCGGGCTGACCCAAAAAGGGGTCCAGCGACAAGGGGGTGGTGCAATGGGTTTGGTGCAATAGATTTGTGTGGTTGCAACGCATTTGGGGCGTGCAATACATTCCAGGGCGCAGATGTATTGCTGGATTTTCGCCTGCAACGCATTCGTCGCACTACAATGCAATACAATTCTCCGGCGCAGTACATCTGCAATGCAATTGCCCCAAATCTATTGCACCACCCCCTTGCAGCTGCACCCCCTTTTGGGTCACGCAAGACGGAGCCGTGGGGAGCACGCCCTGCTTGTTGTGGTGTTCGGAGATGCCCCCGCCTGTCGGCGTCAAGATGCGAGCGTGCGACGCGCGTCTGCCGGGCCCCGGGCTCAGGTGAAAGCGGGCGAGAACGACCTCCTGGAGCGGTTGCGCCGCAAGGGCTCGCGCTCCAACACGGTTCCTTGATGAGGGGCCAGGCGCTGTCGGACTCGATTCTCGCCCTCTCGGCGGCGGCGGCTTCTTCGACGTCGACGCACTCGTCCTGAAGTTTCGGGGCGTTTCTGCAG